GGAGTCACTGCTGCAGCCCGTGCATCCGTGCCAGACTCCAGACCCTAAGTCCGTCTGGGATATGGCTTTCAGGGATCAGCCCTCATTGCATCCCGTCCTCCTTCTCAGAAAGGCGTGAGTCTCTTCAGTCTTACTGTGCTTCTAATGTGGAGCTGACTCTTAAGTTTCTGCCACTCTAAGCTCATGTCACCATGCCATCTCCTCCATGGCAAGCACCTAGGCAGAACAGGCTGGCCTGATCTGAGGACTGGCAGATGTAGGCACATTTGGGTAACTGGTTTGGAACGATCCACGGGGCCAGCTGCTGTTTAGATATGAGGACACAAAGAGGACTTGGAGGAGAGTCCTTTGCACCAAGACTCCTGGCCATGCTACTAGGAAGAGAAGGCTCAGCAGACATGAGAGCTAGAGGAAAGAGTGGTTATGAAAGACAAGCCCTATTTCACCATGGAGCCACTCCCATGCCTCATCAACTTTCCAGAAGTTTCCTAAAGCTCAGAGGTCTCTCAAGGACAGTGTGGTCCTCCACAGAGAGGCCGGGCACAGCTTAACTCGGCCAGTGTAACTTCTCACACGTTCCCACTGAAGAATAGATTCAAAGTCAAAGTGAGTGTCCACCCAGAACCTTTCAGCCACAGTACAGGCAGGTTCTGTGCCCCAGCATCTGCCAGGTCCATCTTCCGGAGCAGTCTCCTGGGCCTGTGCTAGCTGGTATCCTATGGCAGCAGTCTACGCACCGAAGCTTACCAGACAGGACCACTGCCCTCGCACCACTATGTCAGGTGAAAGAGCTTCACTCCACCCAGGCATCTCTGCAGCCACAGTCCAGCCTTCCCGTGCCAGGAGGCCTGCAGCTCACAGAGCAGAGACCGGGTATATTGGTGTAATAGCTTCCCTGGAAGCAGCAGCCACATCATAATGCTGCTTATTGTCAGTGCCCCCCTCTTCCTGGAAACAAAAGGGGTGTGACCTCTTGGTCCTGCCCAAGACTTGTCTTACTTTTTCCTCTCCCATGTGAATTTGAGGAGCATGGGCTCCTCAAGCTGTGAATCATGGAGTTCTGTCCCTTTGGCTCCATGGCCCAGTTGTCTTCACTGCAGGGAAGAGGAACAAGTTAATAAAGGCTGTAGCTGTGTTCCGAACACTGTGGATGGCATCTTGTGGAAGGACCTACTGACCTTCTCTGAGGCACCCATGATGGACTTTGCTTGGCAAAGCTGCCAGCCCAGGGGCATGGCAGAGAGGAAGGGACAGAGCTGAGGCCAGGCCTACCTAGTACAACAACCCCTTCCTGTCCCCCAACATCGAAGGCCAGAGAAAGGAGCCTTTCTTTCACAGGCACAGGTGTTGCTGTGTACCCAGCTCTCCATGTGCCCGTACCCAAAGGAGCCATATCCTACCTCTGCCACCCTGAAAACTCGAGGTTTCTCTGAGAAGTTGCCAGCCTCTAGTGTTTAATGTAACGCTCCTTTTCCTGGGGAAAGTATAGATTAGACTAATTAATGTGTGTTGTTTGTTTACCCTTCTTTCATTTCCCTGAGACAAAATAACCACAGAGCTTTAGAAATCGCTCATCAGTAGCAGTCCCCTCTGGGTCTCCAGCGGCAGCAGCTTCTTTGTATAGATGCAAAGACCCCACACAGGGCAAGGCCCTGGCATGGAGGCTGGTGAGAGGCTCTGGATTGAAGGACCCTGACTGTGGCAGGAAGGGCTGGGAGGCTTTGGGCTGCCTCATAGCCCCTGGGGCTGCCAGCCACTTGGATGCCATCCTTAACTGAATGGGCACCAATAACAAGCCTGTGACCGTCCCAGGAGAGGCAGAAAGGCCAGGGCTGGGTGGGGAGCCTGAGGGATTGACCTAGGAGAGTCTATAGGGTCACTGCTGGAGTGAAGGGGACATGGAACAGATGAAGAGGGACTTTTTCTCCCTACCCCCAAAAGCTCTGCCCAGCTAACAGCAAATCCCAGCTTGATCAGTCAGTGTTGGCCACACTGGAAGACAGAAGGTTGAAGAATTCCCCCCAGGAACCTTGTGGTGAAGTGAGCCCGTGTCCCCCTCTGACCATAGCAGAGCTTCAGCACCTGTATGGGGAGCAGACAGTCTCCTCTGCAGTCCGTGCTCCTAAAGTGTCATCCTAGTCAAGCCTCGGCCTGTGCAGCCCACACTGCCACTCACCCTTAAGCAGCAGGGTCCTTGTTCCTCAGCCTATCATTGTTCTTTACCTCCACAAACATGGGCGCATAGCCAAGACTCAGCCACAAACTGACAAGGGTGCCAAGGACTCCAGCCCAGGAGGAACCCCAGCTTCTAGTGGTGACAGCACTGTGGGAGTGGAGTGGAAAGTCACCGTGGGGGGGGGGGGGCTCAACAGAGACTGAGAGACTGGACATTTGGGTTTGGGACCAAGACTGGAGAAGGAAGAACAGTGCCAGAGTGGGGCAGGAGCTTGGTTAAGGATGATGACCAGGGCCAGGCTGGTGGCCTCAGGCCACAAAGATGAGAAGGAAAAAGGAGATAGGAATAGATCTGCTCCAAGACACTGGGGTGACACTGACATCCAGGTGGCCTCAGAAATTTGGCTTAGGCCTTCCTCTAGCACCTTGGTACCAACCACAAGGACCACTGGAGCCCAAGGGTTGTGGGAGGCTCGTCTCACCCTGCATTCCTCGAGTAGCAGCAGGACCCACAGGTAGTGTCAAGGAGCCTAGTGTGTATAGCAGGGATAAAGGTCCATGTTGGCAACTCCGTGTCTTCTCTCATGGTTCCCACTCGAGCCAGGCAGAATCATGCCAGCTCCGCACACCAGGGCCTGCAAGTTTGCTGACAGTGAGCCCCATGACCCGATGACCCGTGATGTGGGACAGCGAGTGAGCTGTGGATTCCACACCAGGTTAGAGTCCTCTGGTAGCAGTATCTTGCTGGGTCTTGAAGAAGGGACTAATGAGTGCATCCTAATGTCTCCCAAGTCTGGTGGCAGGCATGGGAGGACTTTGGACACCCCCCCACCCAGCTCCTCTGAGCACTGGCTGCAAAGGGAGATAGCCTGGCAGGAGGTTTCACTGAGGCCCAGCACAAAGCCAGGGCCCTCAGCTGTGATCTGCATAGACAACCTGCTGCTCTAGACTGTGATTTTCCATTGTTTACTTCAAAGTGATTTACCTTGAGGAAAGGAAATTCCTCGTGGAACACATTGGTCAGAACCAGACAGGGCCACCAGCTTAAGTTCATTGTTAGATTCCTTTCTGGCCAAAGGCATTGTAGATCAACATCAGCTCAAAGCTCCCTCTGTGAAGCAACTACTTGTGCCAGCCTGAGCCCTGCGAAGGCTCTTGTGCAGCTCCTTATTTCCAGGAACTCCTGGGATCCTGGGAGGTGGACACTTCCCAAAGGTTTTATGATACAGGACTGCAGAGACCAGGCCACTCTCACAGGGGACAGAAGCCCACAGTGGAGATATCTGCATGCCACCTGGGCAAACAGAAGACAGAGTCCTCTCTGGGGAGATAACTTCTGAGCTGAGTCTTAAGGGATGAGTGAGGCAAGGGACAGAAGAATGGGTAGAACAGGACACCCTTGTCACAGTGAGTCAGAGGGAAGCTTCACAGAGATGGGCAGCTTGGCTGAGGAGATGACCATCCAGCCATCGTGTAGACAGTGGAGGTTAACAAAGTTGGCAAAAGGTGATGCACTCTGGGCCCAGAGTTTGCAGCAGGAACACAGGGGACAGGTAGGATCTGGTGACTAAGATACGCAGGTCCCTGGCTTGGGTGACCAAGGATTCAGGAGGAGGAGGAAGAGGAAAGAGTGCAGGGACAGGATGAACAAGGCAACATGGGCTCAGACCCACCACGGTGGCAGGGGAGAAGCTGGGTTGGGTCAATGAGCTATTGAGCTGGAAGTGACTCGTTGACTCAGCTGGCAAGAGAGCGCAAGATCATGCTTCTGTGAGTTTGCTTCACAACGAGCACCGTGGTCCCAGATCCCCCAGAAGCTGGAGAAATCCACAGACTTGTGTTGACTGAGATCTCAGCACAATAAATGTATAAATGCACCTGGCAGCATGGGCCTGCTCTGAGACCCACTGTAGCTCCTGCACAGGCTGGTACAGGGACCCAGGGTGAACATAATCAGGTAGCTGTAGCCCTTGTCTGGGGCTGCATTGTGAAACACAAGCAGGAAAGTGGTGAAAGTTTGCATGTGAGACATACGCAGCTCCAGGGAGCCTCTCCAAAAGTCCCAAAGACTGTCAGAGTCCCTGCGATGGGTAACTGATCCACCGGCAGTTGGGAAGGGACAGGCTATGCCTGGGCCCCTCTGGCTGGGGGTCCTGTGGGCTCTCTGGGGTGAAGCACAGAGTTTGGTCACTGCTGCAGGCAGGGCCAGAGTCACAGCAGGGTGGTGGGGGTTGGGGGGAGGCTGCCCATTCTGGGCTGCCAGTCATGCTGCCCTTGGCTCCAGGACTTTCTGGTCTCTTTTCTCAGTCCTGACCTAGTTGCTGTTCACTGACAGGTTTGCTATGTTTGCAGCTCCTTTGACCTAAGGTCACTGTCCACATTTGTTTGTTTGTTTTTGGTACCAGTGTTTGAACTCAGAGCCTTCTCATTGAGCTGTATTCCCAGCCTGGGCAACTGAGAGATAATGCAGTCCTCCTAGCTCAGCCTCCCAGAGTGCTGGGATTACAGACATATGCCATATCACCAGGCCTGTCCATACATTTAAACACACTGTCCCCCTTTGTACTCACAAAGTAGTATCCCTCAGAAAACCTGGCCCATTTTCCAAGCAATTAAGTTTTCAAGATCAAGACAGTCAGGGATAGTCATGTCACCATGCTGTTTACTCCAAGAGAACAGAACACAAACACCGGCAAAAGGAGTGTGCTGGGGTCATCACCAGGTCCCCCAAACCCTGCATGCCCCTGCTGGCTTCATCCTAGTCCTGAGAACAGTCCTGCTCCCCTAAAGATCAGTAAAAGCCACCCTGCTTTCTGTCTCCACAGGTTTACAGCAGGCCCTGGTATCCCAGCATGGCACACTGACATGAACCATGACTGGCTGGCTGACACTCACCACTAACCACCCAGACTCGAATCTCGCCAGGAGGTGACCCCTCCTCCCACTGCCCCCACAATCTGCCCATCCCTACCCAAGAAAGTGCCGCGACTGCCATGGACACCATGTAGTAGGGCCGGCTGCGGCGCCTAGTGAGCTGCGATGGTTTTGTACACGACCCCCTTTCCTAATAGCTGTCTGTCCGCCTTGCACGCCGTGTCCTGGGCCCTCATATTCCCATGTTACTGGCTGGCGGACCGGCTGGTAGCCTCCTTCATACCCACTACCTACGAGAAGCGTCAGCGAGCAGACGACCCGTGCTGCCTGCAGCTGCTCTGCACCGCCCTCTTCACGCCCATCTACCTGGCCCTCCTTGTGGCCTCGCTGCCCTTTGCTTTTCTCGGGTTCCTCTTCTGGTCCCCCCTGCAGTCTGCTCGCAGGCCCTACATCTACTCACGGCTGGAGGACAAGGGCCCAGGGGGCGGGGCAGCCCTGCTTGGTGAATGGAAGGGCACAGGCACTGGCAAAAGCTTCTGCTTCGCCACTGCCAACCTCTGCCTCCTCCCTGACTCACTTGCCAGGCTCAACAATGTCTTCAACACCCAGGCACGAGCCAAAGAGATCGGGCAGAGAATCCGCAATGGAGCTGCGAGGCCCCAGATCAAAATCTACATTGATTCGCCCACGAACACCTCCATCAGTGCAGCCAGCTTCAGCAGCCTGGTGTCACCACAGGGCAGTGATGGGGCCAGAGCTGTCCCTGGGAGCATTAAGAGGACAACTTCCGTAGAATACAAGGGCGATGGTGGGCATCGCCCTGGTGATGAGGCTGCCAATGGGCCTGCCTCTGGGGACCTGGCTGACAGTGGCAACCTGGAGGATGCCTGCATCGTCCGCATCAGTGGCGAGGATGGTGGGCGGCTACCTGAAGCAGAAGACCCTGTCACTGGGAACCACACCAGGAACGGGGCCAGCGGGGGCTCAAAGGGCCAGACACCCAACCACAGTCAACAGGATGGGGATTCAGGGAGCCTGGGCAGCCCTTCAGCCTCCAGGGAGTCCCTGGTGAAGGCACGAGCAGGGCCAGACAGTAACAGTGGGGCGGACCAGGGGCCCAACAGCAAGCTCCTGTACAAGGCATCGGTGGTGAAGAAGGCAGCCACGCGTAGGAGGCGGCATCCTGATGAGGCCTTTGACCACGAGATCTCAGCCTTCTTCCCTGCCAACCTGGACTTCCTGTGCCTGCAGGAGGTGTTTGATAAGCGGGCTGCTGCCAAGTTGAAAGAGCAGCTACACGGCTACTTTGAGTATGTCCTGTACGACGTCGGGGTCTATGGCTGCCGCGGTTGCTGCAGTTTCAAGTGTCTCAACAGTGGCCTCTTCTTTGCCAGCCGCTACCCTATCATGGACGTGGCCTATCACTGTTACCCCAACGGTCGTGGCGTTGATGCCCTGTCCTCTAAGGGAGCGCTGTTTCTCAAGGTAGGAGGCCTTGACCCGACCTGAGGGCCACATGCCAGCCAGTGTCCAGACTACGTGGGGAGGTGGGCCACAGCTAGGGAGTCCTCCTTGTCCTGGGCTGCAGAGGTGGGAGGCAGACAAGGTCTTTTCCATGGAACTGAACCAGGGGCCCCCAGCTCAGAGACAAGGGAAATACAAACACCAAGACAAGAACCAAGGCCCCAGGCTCAGACAGACCTTCCAGGGAGATTGGGACCAGTTCTGCAGCTCTCTATACTGCCATTTCTGAGTCTGTAAAATGGGGACAAGATGGATGAGAACCACACAGCAAGCCTGAGATAGGCCCCCATTCCTGCATCGTGTGGTGACGGTGGCCCTGGTGATGCCAGCAGTGACAAGAGGCAGAACGAGAGTACAGGCAGGCAGACAGGCCTTTCAGGTCTCCAGAGCCATGGCCACAACCCAGCTTGCTGGCCTGGATAGCCCTCCCTCTTGGCTGTCAGCAACTGCCAGGCCAGGCTCTCTGCCCACCAGCCAATGGCTTTACTTGCATAGTCACCAATTAAAGTAAATCATAATTATTTCTACTAATTTGAATGCAATTGGAGTTTTTTGACCATGGTAATTTGGTCATTACACATTATCTTCCGCTGAGCCAGAGATGCTCAAAGTGTCAACTTTTTGTTCTCTATCCAAAAGCCGCTCTCAGTCCTTCAGGTTTTCTGAAGCAACCCTTGGCCAGCTGATAACAGGGCTTCATGCCCTCAAAGGCAGTGGCTGCTATGGGGGTGGGTTTTCTCCCTTTAAGGAGAGATGTGACAAAGCAGCTACTCAGCAGGGACAACCGCAGCCCAGAGGCCAGGGCAGGTTTCCTCACTTCTTAGCTCCCGTCTCAAAGCCACCACACTTGGCCTGTCCAGGAAAATGCTGGTGTCTAAGCTGGTGCCTGCCAGGGTGGGGACACTGTGTCTACACCTAAGGCCTCCAGCCCCTGCCTCCTAGGTATTCAATGTCCCATGTGGCTTTGCTAGGCCACAATTGAGCTGCCCAGTGTTATTCACAACCAGAGATGCTGAAAATTACATCAACTTCTCTGGCAACAGAGCCAGTCTTCCCTTCTGGCATATAGCTCATATGGTTCTGTTCTGGGCATAGATTTTTGTCTTAGCAGCTAGAGTGACTTTCTGGGGAAGAAGGTGATATGTTGTCAGGCTCAGGGTAGAAAAGTGTCACTCTCCACATTTGCCAACTTCAGATGGCTCTGAAGTGAGGGACCACCCTCAAGTCCACTTCTGTGCAGGCCAATCCACTTGTCTCCCCACCCCTGACTTCCTTCTTCCATCTGGCGCTTGACCACTGTGCCCACCAAAATCAACAAGTCTTGCTGGAACAGCCCATCACTGCAACCTTGTCCTGAATGTTCTTTTTGTGTCCCTTTACCTCCTGGGCCTCCGATTTGTCTTTAAATATGTTTAATTTGGTCCACACTACTAAAAAAATATTTCTTGAATTGGCCAGTTTTTAAAAAAGAAGATATTAAACCAGGCATGGTAGTGCATGCCTGTAATCCCAGCATTCTGGAGGCTGAGACAGGATTGTTGCAAGTTTGAGACCAGCCTGGGTTGCAAAGTGAGCTGAAGGTCAGTCTGAACTGTATAGTGAGACCCTGTCTCAAAAAAGGCAAAGACAACAAAAAAGATATTTCACATAAAACCTAATTTGCGCTCTCTCTCAACACTTCAACAGATCTGGCAATGCCACGTTTCACACCTTAGCCACTTCTCATTTCCCAGTGACCGAAGTCACCCCTGCTCCTTCTTGGGAAGTGTACCCCCACCAGCATCCATTTCTGCCCTTGCTAATGACCCCCAGCTTTGTCCCAGCCCAGATCTCTCCCTATGGTCCTGTCCCTGCATCTGGCTGCCCCTGGACACATCCCATTCACACCCAAACCAAACTCAGCATCTCCCCTGGGAACTCTCATCCCAAAGCCAAAAGGGACCACCTTGGCTGTTCCTTGTGCCCACCTTGACTGTTCCATGTGACTCATTTCACTTTCAGATACCCCTGGCTCTACGCTGTGCGTCCAACTCCACTGCCTTGGCCAAGGCTCCATCCCCATGGCCCAACTGTGACTGTGGCTGCCTGCCCTTTGTAGCCTGTGCTTCCTTCTCACCTAGGTTGGGGACTGCCCTTTTCACCCCCACTGCCGTGGGGGAAGCCCCTCGTCGCTGCCTGAGCTCTGCCCCTGCCACACCACATCCATGCTCTGCCAGTCTTGGCCATACAGCACAGTTGGCTTACCTCTGTGAGACCCTCAGCCTGGTAGCCAGCTGTCTTGCCATCTGGCTGTCTCATCAGATACTGCCCTTGAGAGCGGAGCTAGGTGTTGGAGGCGTACAGAAGACCCCAGCGCACCTCTGTTGATCTCCCACAACAGACAGCAATCATATGGGCTTCAGGGGGTCACACCCAGCCCAAGAGGGGTGGGGATTGCAGGAAGAGTGCTGCCAGTGGACCTTTGTGCCTCCTTCATCTCACCCTGCCTTGCTGATGTGCTCTGTGCTACTTCAGGGCCTTTGGGGAGCTATGACTCCTTGTGAAGGAAGGGACTGGAGGTCTTTTGCTTTCACACAACAGAGAACTTTCTGGACTTTTTATATTTTTTGTCTACCAGACTTGGTGTGATCGTTTATTTTTGTGAGAAAAACACAGGACTCTGTGGCTCCTAAGAACACAAGTGAGGCATCAGTAAATCCTGACAAATAACAAAGTGAGTCCTGGCAAGATCCAGGGGAGTGTGAGAGCCAGCATCTTCCCTCTGGCCACCTTCGCCTTAGCAGCAGGGCCAGTCCAATTTCTTTCTACACATGTCCCCTGCTCCTGGCCAGGACTCAGCACAAGGCAGGTGATGATGTGAAGTGATGAGTGAGGGAGAGGCAATCTACAAATGGGTGGCTTCAGAGAGGCCAGTAAAGACACAGGCAGCTTGGAAAGAGCGTGGTGGCCCACAGGTCTGCTGTGCCTCACCTGGTCCGCGTGAGCCTTGAGATCTATGGCTTCACTTCCCTGGGCCTCAGTGAATCTACGATGTGAGGAAGCACTAAGCCAAAATGCTTTCACTGAAGGGACCTTGTTGCCTGAGGAATACCAGGGCCATACTGCCATCACGTGCCCTTTCTGAGCACTGCGATTTTATGATAGGCAGATTAGCACAAGTGAATTTAGAGCCCTTCCAGGGGCAAGTGTACTGTTAGGCTACAGTTTGGATCTGGGATATGGAGAAGCAGCAAATGGTGAACATGTCAGTTTTAAAAAAACCCCAAATTCAGACCACAGAGCTTACTATCAAATACTGAGACATGTATATCACAAGCTCCAGAGAAGGAAAGATGGGCATCTGGGCCAGGAGAGGGAGAAGCTGTAGAAAGCCAGGGGTGCATCCAGATGGGACAGAATAACGACTATCCAGAAAGCAAGATGGATGCTGCTGGAGCTCTGGGGCCTACGACATGGCTACAGTGGGGCCCTCAGCCAGTAACTGAACAGGTGGCTAAGCCTCGACAGCCCACCTACCTGCCTTGAGTCTCAGCATCACAGAAGACCCAGTCTGGAAAGGAGTAGCAAAGTTTGGGAAGGGTGGCTCAGTTCATCATGGAAAATGAGGAACTACGAGTGGCCTCTGTGGACTGGTACCAGTGGCATCCCTAGAGAGCAGCCCAATGAAGGACTTCTGGAGTGGTCTCCTGAGGCTGTACTGTGATCAGAGGGCTCAGGACAGCCCTGAGGCAGCAGGGTGGTGGCATGGGCGGTGTCCTTCTGTGTCCACCATTCACTGCTCCCAACCATAGCACAGACAAGGGCTCAAACTTGAGCTAGGGCTTACCACCCGGGGTGGATGCTTTGAGTCATTCTTGGGACATACAATCAAGACACTCATTTTTATAAAGCTAACATCTGGGGCCGGGGATTTAGCTCAGTAGCACAAGTGCCTGCCTGGTAAGTGCAAGGTCGTTAAGTTCAACTCCCAGTTCCTCCAAAAATAAAAAGGAAAGAAAAATAAAGCCAACATCTGGAGACAGCCTGCCAGGGTCACCTGCAAGTTTGGTGGGGTGGGTGCAATTACCCCTCCCCCAGCCCTCCTCCCTCCTGAAGCTCTGTCCTTGGTAAAGGAGTGAGGACAGAGATCCAGGAGCAGTAGAGATATGAGCATAATGAAGCCCCCATGGAAGGAGGGCTGGGCTTAGCATGACTCAAGGGTCCAGAGACAGGGGACACAGCTCAGATTTCTCACCCCAACTGAGGAACCTCAGGACCATGGTCTATAAAACAGATGAAATGACTTGGCACACAGCCAGTGGGGCAGAGGCTGGAGACATTGGGAGGGTGGCAGTGTCTGTGACCCTCACAGTGGAGGGAGGGGTGAGCCCTGAAGCCGGGTCCACACACATGGAAGGAACATAGGGTGAGATCTGGCCTCTGAGTGGCTGAGGAAGGAAACAGCCACCAAACATGAATGGACAAGGAACTGAGGGTCTTGTAGGTGGGTCATCAGGAGACGTAGACTTGGGAGGACCTGGACTGTGGGTTTGCCCTTCCCCAGCCACCTCACACTGCTGCTGTGCATCACGTGAGCCAATGTTTCCTTTAATACATCTGGCCTGTCCTCCAGTGCAGGCTGTAACTGGGGAACAGGACGTGTTCTGTCCTTGCCTGGGCTCCAGTGTACCAGGACCCTAGCACAGAGTAAGGGTTCTGAGTTTCAATGAGAACGTGGATGGCCGTGGCCAGGCCAGTGTCCCAGTGGTGACTGGTAGGTGGCAACACTGATATCTGGCCTCGATCCCAGGTGCAGGTTGGAAGCACACCTCAGGACCAAAGAATCGTTGGGTACATCGCCTGCACACACCTGCACGCCCCACCAGGTAGGTCAACACTGCCCAAGGCTTCTGGAGTGTTGGGACGGCACCAGGGGCCTGGCACCAGCTTCACTGTCTGGTCTCTGCCCTGCAGAAGATAGCGCCATCCGGTGTGAGCAGCTGGACCTGCTTCAGGACTGGCTGGCTGATTTCCGAAAATCTACCTCCTCGTCCAGCGCAGCCAACCCCGAGGAGCTGGTGGCGTTTGACATCGTCTGCGGAGATCTGAACTTTGACAATTGCTCCTCTGGTGAGGCCACGCTCCTCCCCTCTGGCCTGCGCTTTTCGAGCTGCGTGGGCTCCAGTTAAGTGACTTGGATTAGGCAGCTGAAGAACTTCTGCTCCTCATGCCGCATGTGTGGGAAGTTTAGCAAGACAATGCTGTCTCTCCCCCCCCCCCAAACCCTAGAGCACAGGAGCCCACATTCTACCTTGAAAGCTCAGCAGCCCCTTGCTGCAGACAAAAGGATGTCCTAAAAATGAACCTGTGGCAAGAGAGGCTGGGGCTTTGGAAACTTGGACTCGGAGAATTGTTTACACTGCACCAGGCAGGGCTTTTAACTGTTGTTCCATTTAGATCTTTTAACAACACTATGAGGCAGACACTGTGTTTATCACATGGTGTGGCAGAGGAAGCTGAGACTCAGAGAGGTTGAGGAACTCTCCAAGGTCACACAATCAGTGACAATAGGAATTTGAACCCTGGGTCTCATACCTTTTAGGCAGGGCACAGACTTTAGTCACATTAAAAGTTCATCATTATTGCTAGGCATGGTAACCCACACCTGTAATTCAGCACTGTGGCAGCAGAGGCAGGGGATCAACATTTCAATCCTAACCTGGGCAATTTAGTAATTTAGAGATCCCTGTCTCAAGATTTAAGCAGACAAACAAAGCTGGGGATGTAGCTCATGTGAAGGTCCTGAGTTTAAAGTCCAGTACTATTTTAAAAAAAGTGAAATTTGAAATGTAGATTTAAAAATCACTGACTTTATAAGGGACTCCTGGGGGGTCTGACTGGCTCTAAGCCTCTGTGGCCTGGCTCCCCTGTCAAAGTCACTTGCCTGATGCCACTGGGATCCACGAGTCAGGACGGATCCATCACATACAGGTCGAGGCTATTGGGAGGGAAGAATCACACCTGGTCAGGCCCCGGTGCCCTTCCCTCCAGAGCCATTGAAAGGTCCTTTTGGCTCAGTGAGCTGGCAGGAGAAATGGGAACCCTGGGGAGGCCACCTCCCTCAGCCTTGTGGGATCCTCAGGATTCATGAGGGCAGGAATCCAGCCTAAGACAGCATCGGCCAGTTTCACATGTTTGTCACAGGATCTGTGACCTTCAGGTCACTGTCTCCTGGAACCCAAAAGGGACAGTGAGCACTATCCTAACAGAGGGAAGGTATAAATCAGTCGCAAAAGACCCCAGAACCACCTGTACAAACACAGAACCTACCCAGAGGCAGTTATGTAAGGGACAGTGACAATCCATAGTACTTTCTTCCTCCCACAGATGACAAGCTGGAGCAGCAGCACTCCCTGTTTACACGCTACAAGGACCCCTGCCGCCTGGGGCCTGGGGAGGAGAAGCCGTGGGCCATTGGTGAGCTGGGTCAATGTGGGGCTGGCAGGGTGCTGGGGTCCCCATAAACCTGAGGAGAGACTACTGCCCTACTACTACGGTCCATGGAGGCCCCAGTGTACTCCGACATCCCACCCATAGAGGCCACCTCTTGGCCAGGTCCTGCATGCAGTGATCACTCCTGCCCTCACCCTTAGGTACCCTGTTGGACACCAATGGCCTTTATGATGAGGATGTGTGCACCCCTGACAATCTGCAAAAGTAAGTACCTGAGTGGGGACCCCATTCACATCAGCTCCCAAGTCTAGACGAGGCACTGAGAACCTGACTTTATGATAGAGAGATGTGATCTGGGAAGCAATACGGGAGCCAGCTCAGCACAAGCCAGTGAGGGCTTCCCTGCCATAGGAGCTGCTTCTCCTCCCCCCTCTGACAGCCACAGGGGCTCATGCAGGTGGAGGCTATCACAGCCCCCATACCCACAAGCCCTGGCATACCCCAAGCCCTGGCACTTGCCTTGCAGAGATGTCTCAGTCACATAGGGTCTCCAAGGGATGCTTCCTAATCCAGCAGCCAGTCTGGGCCATGTGAAGCCCTACTGGTAGAGTGAAGGGAGTTAGAACTTTCCATGGCCAACCCAACACCTGACCTCTGTAGCACAGTCACTGGGTAACAAATCAGAAGGGAGCTGGGAACTTGTGGCACCAATCAGGGAAATAAAAGGAGTGGAGAGAATACCAGCTGATTGGTTTCAAAGTAGAGACAGATCTATCTTGGCCAGGATTCACTCCTGAACCCAGTGGCTTCCATAAAAGACACTGGAAGCCAGGGGTGGTGCTGTACTTGGGAGGCTGAAATTGGCAGATCACTACCCATTTAAGGCCAGCCTGAGATACACTGTCAGTTCAAGGCCAGTCTGAACTACTAAGTGAGACCCTGTCAAAATACACACAGAAAATTCCGTATAAAGGATGCACTGGAGAGACCAGAGCAGAGCCAATTTATAATTCACAGCTGGAGACTACACAGAGCCTCAGGGATGGCTCCTTGCAGCTAATTGGAGCCAATTAATTAGATTACAGACTAAATTTGAAACATCATCCTATGCCGAGAAAATTACCTTTTTATAAGATGATGATTAAAAAATGACTATCAGTAACTCTCAGATCATTGATGCTGGAATTAATTACCAAAGGCAAAGGACAGTAATGGATTATATCTCTGAGCCATAACAATGTTCTGAATGTCATTAGTGTATTTATCTGAAGGCTGATAAAAACCTTGTAGAAACGTGTGCTTGCCAGCCTAGCCTCTCCAGGCGCCTTTCCAGTCTGTCCAGACCTTGACCATCTGGCACCCTGGGGAGTGCTTCCCACCCACGTGCCAGCTCAAAGGGGAACCACAGAGGGATCTAAGCCACTTGCCCTCCCTATAGAACTATAAATGGCACTGTCACACCCAAAGAGTTTCCTTGATCTCAGAGATGGGACATCAGCCATTCCCCAAGGCAACTTGGGGCCCATAACGACCATTCTTGTTTCAGAGGAGAAAATGGAGATTTGGTGACATGACCCGGGCCACATCACATCACCATTTAGATCCACTAAGAGTAGAGTATTCCCATGAGGCCTGGGTTCCCATTTGAGTCCCTCAGTTCCCTGCTGATCTGAAACAATCAGACTGGGGCTGGGGCTTCCAAGAGGACTGGGATGGATCCCTGAGGTGCCACGCATAGATCAAGTCTCCCAAACAGGCCCCTCTGGCTCACAGCAGGAGCCCCTTCTGGAGATAAGGGAGGGGTGGTTTGGACCAGTGACCAAGTTCAAACAGGGAAAGTGAGGGCTGGCTGGCCCAAAGTGACAAAGGACAGACTGTCAGGAGACCTGGAAGGCTCTACTCAGCCCTATTTTCAGAGGCTCTGGAACACCTGCCCTCCAGCATGAGCCTTTTGTGAGCCACAGGGGAAACAGATAATCACCCCAGCTTTAGGGCTCCTCCCACAGGACCTGCTTGACCAGGGCCTGCGGAGTAGAAGTAGAGCTCTCACCCTGCTGCCTGTCTGGTGAACAGGGTCCTGGAGAGCGAGGAAGGCCGCCGGGAATACCTGGCTTTCCCCACCAGCAAGAGCCCAGGAGGCGGACAGAAGGGGCGGAAGGACCTGCTGAAAGGCAATGGACGCCGCATCGATTACATGCTGCACGCTGAGGAGGGGCTGTGCCCTGACTGGAAGGCCGTGAGTCTGAGGGGCTGCCCTGTAGAGCCCTCAGGAGTAGAGGTTCCCTCTGGACCCCATCCTCAAAACAAACCCTAAAAAACAAGAGCCGTTATTCCTTCAGACATTTAGGCCCTGGAATCTTTGAGTTCCATGTCTGTGCACAACCCTGGCACAGAGGCCCTGTGTCCTAGGATCCCCAGGCTGCCATGCCCTACCCCCTCCTTTTCAGGACAAACTTTGTTTCTAATCAGAGTGCTTCTCCTTCTCCCCCTCAACAACCCAGGAGGTGGAAGAATTCAGTTTTATCACCCAGCTGTCCGGCCTGACCGACCATCTCCCTGTGGCCATGCGGCTGATGGTGTCTGCAGGGGAAGAGGAGGCATAGTCCAGCCAAATCGCCGGCATCCAGAGCACCGGGCCTGTGCCAGCCCTTTGAGCTGCAGCCCATCCTTGGGCCATGTCTCCTCCATCCAGCTCCCAGTGCTGGGGGAGGAGGGCAAGGAACAGGGAGGGAGCCACGGTTAGTCCCGGGGAGCCTGGAAGCAGTGCTGCTGCTCTTCGACTCTGGGGCATCTCCAAGGACAGAGACTGAGGCTGGCCCGGGAGCCCCGCTGCCTAACCAGTGCCATTCTTTCCAAACGTGATTTTCTACAGATCTACAGCACAACCTAGTTTGTAACCCAAGGATTAGTATGAGGACCCAGTTTATGTACTCTTTGTATCTCTTCTCGAGCTTCGTCCAGGGTTATTTTGTCTGCTGCCAATGTTGTCTCGCATGCCTACACCCTCGCATGCACGCTGCTCGCATGCCACGTGCCACACTGTAGCTACCCAGACCCCTTGCTCCGGCCTCACCCAAGGCCAGACTCCAAACACAATCAGAACCAGCCAAAGAAGCACTTCCTGGACTTGGCTGCCAGCCCTCCACCTCCGGCCCAGATGGGGCACTGTGGGGACATGAGCGCTGTCATTATCAGCCAACCCAGGGCTCTTCCCAGAGTCTTGCATTCAAGGGCAATTATGTCTTAAAAAGAAAACAGAAATTAAGTTAAAACAAAATTAACTTTAACCCTTAACTACATAGAACCTTGCTCTTCCCAACACAGGGTCCCGTCCCCAGCCCAGACACATCAGGGGTCAGCAGGCCCTGCCTACCCCAGCAGCTCCTCTAGGAGACTTGAATCTAGGCTATGGAGCCATAACCAGAAATCCAAGAAGACGGCATCACTTTTTTACAGGAAGGGGACTCACAACTTAAAAGGGTGGGGGTAGGGTCTTCATTTTGAAAGTTTGTAGCTTCTAAGCAAGCCAATGCATCCTCTTCCTTCTGCCAAGCCCCTTGCTGCCTTTCAGACACCTGTCTGGTTTGGGACCAATCCTTCCCCAGGGACTTACCCCATCCATGTGCTGGCTGAGCTCAGGAACCGCCTGTCTGCCCCTGGATGGGGCTGTGGCTCTGGCCTCCCAGGCCATCCTCAACAGTTACTCCAGCCAATGCCATGGCAAGGGGGACTCGGGATGAAGAGGTAAGAAGCCAAGGTGCAGAGCACAGCGTGTCTGGCACCAGTGGGACGATCCTGCACCTGGTTGGGATGGCCAGGCCAATGCCATTTCATGCCTGGGGCAGGGAGTAGTACTGGCTGGCATGCAGGCACACAGAAGCTACCCTGCCACTGTGCAACCACAGCCTGCCTGAGCTCCCTGGTGTGGGCTTCCTGGAGTTTGGGCAAGGACTTGTGAACGGTCTCCATTCCTGGGGGCAGCTGGGACTCTGTTCCCACGCATGGCTGAGTTAGGCAGATCTAACACCCAGATCTAAGCTGCTGTACACACAGGGAGGGCAGCGAGGCCAAGGCCAGGGTCCCCGCACCACGCCAGCAGCTTCTGTCCCTGAGGGTGAGGCAGCACATGTGAAGTCAGGGCCACATGCTTCTCATTCTCCCAATTCCAGGGCGGCCTTAGGCAAGTCACACCGCCCTGTGCCTCAGTCACTTTCTTCATCACATGGTCACCTCTGCCTCGTCAGGTCCTGGCATCCAGAGGGACGGCCTGCCTCCCTAGCTTCCCTCATACCTCCCTTAGAGCTGAGGCCGCAACCACCTGAGGCCTCTTGGAGCTGTGGAGGCTTCTCCATTCTGATTTTTATAAAAGAAGGGAAAAAAACCTGCCAGGATCTCAGATGGCATCTATGGCGTGGGAAGGGGCAGTCACAGGGGTCATCCAGATTCAAACCAAGGCTCTTAGCTGCCTCTGGCCCACCACAAGGGTTATACAAGACAAGTGGATCAGTGTAGGAAGGAAACACTTTCATTTATCCAAAACCACCTTGAATTTTAAGTATATATTACTCTTGATGCTTTTTAACTATTGTATTAACTTGCTGAGATTTAGAGATACTGTTTTAAAAAAAAAAGAAAAAAACACTTTTTTAATTTCTGTATTTTTTTTCTGTATTGTATCCTCATGGGACATTAGGGGTTTTATATGGTAAGACACCTAAGGTTTTGGTAAAAAACGTCATCATATATATATCCAGACAATTCTTCCCTAGAAGAAAAACAATCTTTACACCTGATAAAATATTTTGAAAAGAGAGGTGGTTTTTTCCTTTATGGTGCTGAAAGGAAGGATGGAAAAGGAGGAGGAAATAAAACTGTGAGGCTCAAGGCTGATGTTTACTTATTTGAGAACAAGCTGGGGCGGCCCTACAGACTGCAGACCATGGGGATGGCTTCAGGGACAAACTCCAGTCTGCCTTGAAATGCTAGGACAGTGGGCCATCAGGCTTTTCTTACTGGGTATCTCTCATTGCCTCAGAAATGCGGAGACCAACAGCAAAGGATATCTTGAGTGTGTAAGATAAACAAGGCCTTGGGCTCCTAGGAAATCTGGCTGTTCCTACTAAAGCAGGACGGGGGTAGTCCATACCATACCCCATCTACCCAAGACTTCTGAGGGAGTGGCAGGGGACTTTTGATGGGCTTTCCCCATGTGGACAAGAGCTGCACCTGGCTCCATTTCTTGATGGCTGGCTTCACAGTGCTGACCTCAGGAACTGCTTGCCTCTTCCGTCTCTGAGAGGCCTGATATCTAGGTCTTGGGGCTCTGCAGGTTACCCACTGGTGTGCACTGAAGTCAAAAGCCTAGATACTTACAAACGTGGTAGGGGAAACCTACTCTTCTCACTCCCAGATCCATCAGTCTTCAAGCCCCAGGACCTAGTTATAGATTCAGTGTCTCCATTCCCTAGGAGGTGCTCGTAGTGGAGCTGGGTGGACGGGACCTAAAAGATGGCAGGAAGTACACAGGCCAGGCAGACTCCACCAGTGGGACTGCCCAGCTAAGCAGATAGCGCCACCTAGCCACCCATCTTAGCAAGAGCACTGTGCTTTTGTTCCCTTCCAGGTAGGCCAGACAGACATCAATGTCCTAGAGCTTTCTGAGCTTCGGATCAGAAATAGGTGGATCTCCCTGGTTCCTTTAGAGCTCCAAATGAATCACCAGCCTACACTGCCTGCCATACCTGAGATACAAGCCAGCTGGGCAAAGATGTAAAAATGGAGGGCATCCTTCCTCCTAAGGCCAAACAGGTCCCTGGAAGATGGGTCCCTTCCCCAAAAGCCACAACCCAGTCAGAGCCACAAACTCTGGATACTTTATTTCTTAACAAGGGAGGGTCAGTTTGGGGTATCTGTGAGCCTGAACTCCAGGGTGACATCTCCTGTACGGGGATGAAACTCCACAACATAGCTTACTGCCTGAGGATTGCCCAGCAGCATTTTAGGATCCAGCGTGGGGCTGAGGAAGTACACAGCCTGCTTGCAATGGGGGTTCCAGCAACAGTCCCCCTGTGGGAGCAGCAAAAAGATAGTGAAGGTCCCCAGTACTTGGGCCACCTTCCCATAACCTCCAACCCAAGCAGGTCACAGTGGGGAGAAGCTGCTTAGGGGCCAGATGACCCAGGGCCACAAAGGAGTCAGCACATGATCTAAAGCACACAGGACAAGAATACCCAGAGAACAAGGCTAGTGCCAACTCTGGGGCCAGCACACACTTTGGACGTGGTACACACTACCTTGTCCTCTGCAGGCTTCAAAAGGCCGGTGCTGACTGTGCTGTCTGGTGTCAGGTGGTATTCCATCCACAGGACAACTCCATGGCTCCTCCCCAGCCTGGGAGAGTGGGTTGGGGCAAATGGACAATCACGGTGAGAGGGGCACAGCTGGGGCTTTCCCTTGCTTTCCTTAAAACTGGCCTCACCACTCCCATCTATGAGGAGCTCCTAACTCTTAACTGCCACACAAAAAAGGCTGAGTAAGAGCAGCCACAGCTCAGAATCACTAGGGCTCCTTGCAGCCTGGTCAACTACCCAGGAACCACAGGGAGGGGCTCCTTGGCTGCCGAGTCCACCTCCCTTCTCTGAGACTGAAGGCCGCAGAGGGTAGCTCTTGACACTGAAGGCTTTCAGACCACTTCTAGATATGCTAGTAACTCAGACAAGTGGTAGCATTTGCTCTGCCTGTTCCACTGGTTCCCTAGTCCTTGGAGCCCTAGAAGCTCTTGGCTCCTTAGCCTCTGCTAGACAGGAGGCACTCCTCTCTGTGAAGGGAGCTGGAGCAGGGTGGGGCCACCCATGGCTTGCAATAAGCAGCCCTCGTCACTGCAAACCTCCTTTAATTCCCAGGAGAGTTCAGGAAATAGCTCCAATGGGTAACCATAATAATGAAGTTCACGATTCCTGGCAGCTGAGATCCAACAAGAAAGCCTCAGATAGGGGGACAAAAGAAAGGCTCTCTCTGCACTCCTCCACATATCCCCCGCAAGGCCCTGTGGCTGTGCGAATGCCACACACACAAGGCCAGGCAAAGACAAGACAAGGACCTGTTATGGGCCAGAGTAAGTGTCTCCCAAGCTGCTGTGCTTAGCCACAGGGGCAGTAGCAGCCCTTCATAGCTACTGGCAATGAGGTGGGTGTACCTAAATCTCAGGAAACTAAGACTAGCTGGACAAAAACCAGCCAATAACCCTAAGTTATTACCACTAATACACCATTTCTTTTTATCTCAGTTAAAAGGCACTAGACCACTGTGGAACTGCTTTCCAGGTTTTGCCTACAGAAACAGAAGCGTTCACCCTTACATACTTCCAGAGCTTCCACTCACCTTGTCAGCTTCATGGTGCCCTCAGCACGGAAAGGCTGCTGGGGGACCGGTTGCTGAAAATCGAAGCTCAGGATCTGCTGGGGGTCAGAGAGGCTACGGCATGGGTACTCCCACAGTGGGTGTGGCTCCGCTTCCTTGCTTTCCCGGAAATCCAGGGCGCACTGAGAGAAGAAAGGGTTTTGGGGCTCTGCAGAGAAGAGCTGGCAGCCAAGGCAAAGGAGCAGTCCAGGGTTCGTACCACAGGCACCCTCACCTCCACAGCCGGAGTCCCCCAGGAAAGTACAGTCATGCGGGACAGCATGTTCTCTCAGAGTGATTCCAGCATCTGGTCAGAGCTTCTCCTTCCCTGCCCCACTGCAAGTTATTGCCTCTCTAAGGTTCACTTTTTCCTTTTTAAATGAGGGTGACAATGCCTACTGAGCAACTCTGAGGATTAAATATCTCCAGTGGTGAAGATGCCTGGTGCTTGGGATACTCACCCACTCACTGAACACTATAGCTTTGCATACCCTAACAGAAGGCTCAGGGCCTGGGAAACAGCCACATAAATAAGCCAGACCAGGACCTGGGAAAGGGGTGGGGTTCAGGTGGAAATGAGGTGAAGCGGGAGAGGGGAGGGACAGTAAAACTGCTTGGAAGAGGTGGCTCCACACTGAGTCCTGAGGGCCACAAAGGAGCAAGCAGGAAAGGGTTGAGATGGGGTATAAACAGGAGTCAGGCAGGGGCAGGAGGCAGGCACAGCCCAGGGTAATCGTGTAGGGGAACATGGCCAGATTTAGAGCCACCCGTTTCCTTTGGGCTCTATGTAGAGGAAGACAGGAGACATCTCAGAGGGTGGGAAGGGTGCAAAGAGCCCAGCAAAGAACTTGAGGAGTTGCCAGGGTGGCACAGGGACTCAGAGCTTGTGTGTGTGACATCTCAACACAAAGATTTACAGACATGGAAAGTCAGCAGTCTGCTATAAAGAAGGTCAGATGCGAAAGGGAAAGATCCATGGGATTTAGTTACTTAAAAAGTGTTTAGCTGAGCACTGTAGTGCATACCATGTACAGGCGCATGTACACCGGCACACCTGTAACCCCAGCACTTGGGAGGCTGGGGCAGGAGGAACATTTCCATTTCAAGGTTAGGCTGTACTACCTGGTAAGATCTTGTCTCAAAAGACAAATAAAAAACAATAATAGCACAACAAAAATGTTTAAACCAGGTATGGTGGTACATGCTTGTAATATCAGCACTCTGCAAGGCTGAGGCAGGAGGGTTCCAAGTTTGAACTCAGTCTTGGCAACTTAGGGAGAATCTGCCTCAAAATAAAAAATTAAAAATGTTGGAGACATAACTTAGTGCAAAGGCATCAGGTTCAACCCCATAACTGGAGTGGGGGTGGAGGAGGTGCTTTACACAGCAATCCATGTTCACGAAAGAATGTTAACTGAATAAGCAAAAGGGAAGAAAAGATCATTATTTCCCACATGCACTGCTAACAATGTGGGGTGCATTATACTACCCCACTTTCTGTGTGTGTGTGTTTAAGAATTTTCCTAACCATAAAAACGTGTCCATGCCCCTGCCCTATTCTCACATGGATGTGCTGCAACACTCTTCACCTTATTCCAAGAGCCACACATAACTGCTGCTATCATGACTGTCCTGGTTCTGAGGCACAGGCCCTGGTGCTCATCCACTGCTGTTGAACATGCAGATTAACTACTAACAACTATTACGCAGCCAAGTCTGCAGGTATCTCCTTACATATGGTTGTCTCAGCAGAAAACAAGGTACTGGCACTGGCAGGAGTAGTACAAATGGTGTGGTGACACACAGACCATAGGCCAACCAAGATTCCAATTCAGGGGTTACCACATGGGGCCGAGAAGAAGCCAGGTATCACAACAGTTCTCAGATGAGAACCAGCACAAGCAAACTAGCAAAATCACCTTGCTGCCCCAATCAACAAAGATCTCTGCTCACAGCTCTTCACTGCCCAACCAGCTCTCTGCCAGAGCCCTGTGGCCATATGGCAAGGGCAATTGGGCAGGGATTGGTGCTATGGCTCTGCCTACCTTAATCATGTCATCCATGATGCGCACGTTGAAGCCTTCACAGTCCCCACAAGGGCTCCGGATCCGCCACAGGTCCTGTGAGGAGAGCACAGTCTTGTCTGCCCAACGTAAGCCTCAGGGAAGTGTGACAACAAGAGTTAGAGCGTCAAACGGAAACAAGAACTACAGCCACATCTTGATGTTCCTGCGGACAGAGATCCTTAGGGCTGAAAGGACACCCAGACCAAAGAGCCAGGGTATTTTCTGTAGGTCTGACATGGAAATCTACAAACTGGCATGATACCATGTCATCTCATCTGTGGGGACAATCAGCCAGAACTACCAGGTTATGGTTTGCACTTATGCCCAGACAATTCCTACTACCATTTTGGAGGGAGGGAATCTGTAGTAAAGCAGCTCTGCAATGCTTAGTGTCTGTAAGGAGAGGATGAGGACAACAGA